AACACACCCAATACCCAAAACTCCCAAAAAAAAAATCTTCACGGACATCAAAAATACAGTAAAAACCATGCAATAACTACGATTCGGCTCATCTCGGCTCGATTCGACTTGTCCTTGGCTGAGGCACGAGTTGCGAAAACTGGTGTTAGTGGCGGGGAACGTTACCCGAAGGGTCGGGTAGCGTTGATTTAGAGGTTGTGGGTGGCAAAGCAGGATAATGTGGTGCGAGTTTGAACCGCAGGGACCCCGGGCAGGGAAGGGGCTAGAGTAAGCGAGTGCTAAAATCTGGCTCAATCACGCAATATTCCGCCCATTTGTGAATCTAGCGTCCCCACAGCACTAGGTAATGTGGGTTTGAGGGGTGCTGGATGGGGAAGAGGGGAAATGTTTGAGGGGATGTTTTAGTCACGGAGGTTCGGGCTAAGGGAGGAGCTGGAATAGAAAACCACTAAACTCGGCTAGGCCGAGCAGTATTGGGTTTAGTGGGGTTTGAATACGGGTTTAGTGGGGTTTGAATACGGCTAGGCCGTGCAGTATACAGTAGTCGGGTTAATGAGGCAACCAAAGCAGGTCGTGAGTAACATTCCCCCAAACGCTAAGCAACATTGATTTGATGGATAATGATGGAAACCCAGGCTGGAACGCACCGGGCGGGCCAGTGCGATCATGCGTTTTGCACTTTTCGTGTCGTAGCAAGATCTTAAGGAGTCGCAGTAGCTAACCCTGTGAAATACTGGCCCTCGAAATTCGGGAAGTTAATTGTGCAGCTATTTGGCATGTCAGTTGTAGATGCTGACTTCAATAACCCAACAAACAGAAAGTTGTTGGCCCGCAAAAAAGGCCCTACTAGAAGAGTTAAATTTGAAATCTTCTAGTCGCACATGAACAGGGAACATTTCCTTGAAATTGAAGCCTTCCAGCTTTTCCCTATCTCGAGTTTGCAATTCTTGCGTAAAAATTTTCACGCACTCATACGTGAGTTCCGGGCGGTTCTAAGGGGCTGAATTTGAAATCTTTTGGTCATACGTGAATGGGGAGCAGTCTCGTAAAGTTTCAGCCTTCTAGCTTTCCTCGTTTCCGAGTTAATGATTTTCCCGCAAAAATTTTCACGTGCCCGTACATGGGCCCCGGACGCTTCCAAACAGCTGATTTTGGTCGTACATGAGGGTTTGGTCGTACTTACCTTTAAAGTTTTAGCCTTCTAGCTTTTCCCGTTCCCGCTTTAATGATTTTCCTGCCGAAATTTTCACGTGCACGTACGTGGGCCCCGGGCGCTTCAAAACACCTGATTTCAGTTGTACATGAGTAGGGAATACTCCGCTAAAGTTTCACCCTTCTAGCTTCTCTCGTTCCCAGGTTAATGATTTTCCCACCAAAATTTTCGCGTGCCCGACGTGGGCCCAGGCGGTTCTAAGGAGCTGAGTTTGAAAAATTTTGTTCGTACGTGAGTAGGGGAGATTCTCTCAAAGTTATGAATTTTCCCGTCATAATTTTTACATACCCGTGCGTAAGCTTCGGGCAGTCCTGGGTAGCTGAATTTGAAATCTTTTTGTCATACACGGGTAAGGGACATTACCGTAGAGTTTCAGCTTTCTAGCTTTTCTCGTTCCCTAGTTAGCAGTTTCTCCGCCAAAACTATCACGTGCTCGTACGCGGGACCCAGACGTGCGTGAGGGTTGATACCGCGGTCGCTGGCACTTGGCTGGAGAACACACCAGCAAAATTTCAGCTTCAAAGCTTGCGTGGTTGACGAGTTGAAATACCCGGACGAACATACACACACACACACACACAACACTGACGAGGTCGTTGCAATATGCGTTTTTGCTGCCCTGTTGCAGCACTCTTGCGCTGCACGGCAAAAACGTATAACGAAAGGCGAATGGGGGTATGTGCTGGTTTGGGCCGCGGGGACTGGAGGAGTGGGATAGTGCTAGCTGAAGAGTGTAGCTATACGGGACTGGAGAGACTGAAATATTGCTTTGTAGGTAAGAAGTGGGTACAAGACAGAGAAGGAGGACGAGAATACTAGTTACGAGCTATGAGATGGGGAGTGGAAACAATAATAAGGAGCAACAAAGTTAAGCCAGTAAATAAAAGCAAAAAAAAGCTGAGCCTCTGCGAATGGAAATTGTCGTATATAAACCCACGATCAGGGGGCTTCCCCTACTTACGAAGATCATGCCTGGATGAAGCTGAGAACAGTTAAGTTCGGTTGCATTTACACAAAAATTCTGCTGTATTGTTTTCGACAGTAAGAAAGTATCTGTTCTGTAACGACCTCAAAAGATAGGTTATAAATATAAATATAACCCATCTCTTGAGATCTTTACAGAACAAATACTGTGAATGAACAGTGATTGATCACAAGCAGCAGAAGGGGAAGGGATAGGGGAAGGAAGAAGGCAGTGTACAGGCTGAGTGAAATGTACTTAACTTTTGAGCAGTTATTAAGAGGGTGCTATTTCATTCTGAAGATGCTGCTTTCATTTTGGTTTTATCACTCGTTCTTTTACACTTTTGCAGAACCAAGAAAGCATATTGGCGAGAGGTTGTCGGTATGTATGTGTGTCCGTGTCTGCGTCTGTGCCTGTGTCTGCTCCCTTTATTTGAAACCATCATCCACGTGCGCCTGAATTCTTTAAGAAATTTACATAAATTTTCGGGCGGGATAATTTCACAAACCAGACAAATTACGAACTTGGAACTTTGCAGAAATATTCTGTGTCCTTGTTTTTGAGCGAAAGATTTCAAATTCAGCTTGTACGCACATGTACATTGTGTATGCAGACAAATCAAAACTGCGATCTCGCAATAGCTGGCAAAAAGCCAACTCGAGAACTAGATTTAGCAGGACCTCTCATTTTAAGTGAGTATTGCTCTCTGTGTGCGAGTTCGTAGACGTGAAATGAGCATCCGTGCGCGCTTGTAACGTGCATATGGGCACGACAAATTATTTTTGGCGGGGAAACAATTTTGGGAGACAGTTGAGTTAGGAAGCAGTAGTTCTCTGAGAATATGACGATGTGTGCGAGTCTAAGCTATCTCAATACGGCACAAAATCGTGCAAAAACGTGTGGTCGCACCGGCAAGCCTCCAAAATTTGATTTCATGAATTTTTTTAATTTTTCATCACAAAGTAACAACATTTAGCATTTTAGTCTTTATCATTTGTCTTTCGGCAACAGTTGCAGCCACGTGTGCGTGTGCCTGTTTTCCTCAGACGTGGAACTTTCGCATCAACCAGCGCTCTTTGTGTGCATGGCTCTCCAGCATAACATCCAACAATAATCGGCAGGCGATGCGTCCTTTCGTACACCATGAATAGAAATGGTGTGTCGTAGCGTACTGCGAATGGCTCATCCGGTGGTGGCGGTTCATAGTGATAAGGATTTACGGATGTCTGCGTGGAACTGGTTATCGGCTTCTCCCTCTGCATTAACCATATCATTTGATAATTCAGGAACGAGGATTGTTGTTTGTAGACTATGTGTAACAATTCCGGGACTACGAGAAAGGATGAAAACCTACCTTTTTTCATTTAATCTGATTGGGAACCCGGAATTTGACCATATATAATGCAATACGGAAATCCTGCGGAGCCAGAAAGTCGCGAACAAATGAAAGGGTGAACGATGTTTTGTTGAAAATAAAATATAGTTAAAAAGAATGTGGCCTGCACGAAAGAGACTTAAAGTTGGCTCAGAAGTAAAAGCTGTGTTAAATGAGGAATGGTTGACCTGTACACCCCGGAAATTACAAAATATCGTTTGTTCTGAATCCTCCTTCGAATACAGCTCTTGCCCTTCTCCTCTTTGCTTGTCCTTTTTTGCATTTGAATGATAGGATGGGCAA